ATCTGATCTGACTTGTTTTTTAAAATTTAAGTTCTTGCACCTGGGCCTCCTAACATCTGCGGGGAAGTGAATCCTGCTTTGAGGTCACTTCCTTCAGCACACATTTTGCCCTTGTCATTGAGACTCCACGTCCTCTCCCACCCTGGCCAGCATCCCCTTCCCCCATCTGTGGCTGCAGCTCACTCAGCTGTGCGAGCCCTGCCCCCTCTGTGCACACTCGATCTAGAGCACTCTGGGACTGCTGGGCAGCTGCCCACATGCCAGCCGTGAGGTTGGCCAGCCGTTCTTGTTCAAGAAAACGGAAAAGATGCCATTGGACTATGCCCATCCATCTATGGTATCCTATAATACTGCTACCACCCTAGCAAAGACAGAGATTCCTTAGCCTGGTACAAATGTAGACCACGGTCTTTTTGCTGCGCGGGTGAAAGATTTTCCTCTGGATGGCTCCTGCCAGGTGCCTGGTGAAAGGGGTCAACTTGGGCCCAGGCCATTCTCAAGGCCACTGAAAGGGCAAGCTAAAAGCGTTGGCTTCTTACCAAGATGGAGATTTTCTTGAAAGAAGGGCATTTCTTTCAAGAAGGGCATGAGACATTTATGTTCTCCAGATTATCAGCGCTGGGCTTCTCAGCAGTAGTTGGCTGCATTTTTGTTCCAGTGTCTTCCAAAGGAATTGAGTTTTCCCTCTTGCTTTTGACTCCTCCTGTCCCTCAAGGAAGCCATTAAGCTGGAGTGTGTCAGTGGTGGAATGATCCATTAAACTCAAGGGCGAAAACATCACACCATTCAACCCCGCTCACTTAACGGCAGAAATCTTTAAAATAGAGCATGAGAGTCTTTATCTCAAATTCTGACCCGATGGGTCATTTTGCTCCTAGTGTTACATAGTGGTTACTAGAATAGAGTGCAGATTTAGAATTCTTGTGGGAAACTTGCTTTTCTCAGGATACCCCTCAGGTAAATGTTCTTTGATAATAAATGACAGGGAGTAAGATAGATCCAAGACACTTGGGTTTGCAAAATTTCTATCACACCCTCAAAAGGAGGCATTGACTGTTGTGTAAATTCCTCCCCACCTAATTTCCAGATAATGCTGTCAAAGTATTCTGGCAACTTTCTGTGTAAACCCCAACAGCAGGAAGTCTCTACCAACCAGACTGCTTGCGGGGGTTGGAATGGTCGGACTCATTTTGTGCAGAGTAGCTTCGTGCAGCCTCACTGTTGGTTGAACAACCAGCTTTGGAGTCCTGGTCTGAATGTATGCGCTGGCATAATGTGTAGAAAATGCTGACGGATAAAACCACTTGGAGCACCTTTACTTCCAAGGAGACAGGATATTTCTTAAAATAAACCCAGGACAACAGTAATGTCTCATTTTCTCCTACCCTGGGAAGTAGAAAGGAACACCTAACCTGGGACATGTATGTTCTCCAGATTATCAGCGCTGGGCTTCTCAGCAGCAGTTGGCTGCATTTTTGTTCCAGCGTCTTCCAAAGGAATTGAGTTTTCCCTCTCCCTAGATAGCAAGCAATACCTAATAAGTAACCAAGGTAAAAAGTAATCTCCTGGAGGGGTCCAGCTGTGTCCACTCCACCCCACCGAGACATGAGCACTTCCCTCCAGCCCTTCCCTGGGCTTGGTCGGGGGAAACAGGCCAAGAAGAAGGCAGGCCACTGCGTGCCTATTCAGGGGAAATGAGCTGCACCTCTGCACAGTTGTCTCACCAGAAAACCCCTTTTCACATTCTGTTGGAAAACTGTTATCTGTATCTAAGCTTACAATAATTTGATAACCTGCCCCTTCATTTTGAAGGGGGTGCAGAGGTCCCCCCAGCATAAGTTGCTTGGTTGTTTGAGTGGGCTTTCACCCGGCAGCAGTTATCTGTGCCAGTGGTGACACAGGTGCAGGTGTGCACATGGGCTTTGCATCTATGCACGTCCATGGGTGTCATTTGTCCTCTTATGCGATCAGCAGGCTCACATTCACCTTCTGTTCCACAGAGGCCCAAAACTATGTTACCGGAGTTTGTCTGGGCTCTGGTGTGCTCCTTGCCAAGAATCCATGTGGCTCCTCTTGCGGCTTTGGTTCTGCCTAGGACAACAGCACATTTTTGAGAAAGGAGTGCAAACCAGGAAACAGCCCTCCTGGACAGCCCAGGACAGAAAAAGGCAGGGTGACCCGTCTCACCTTCTGGGCGTTTAGGTTATGTTACCCTGTGAAGCCTAGGAAAGAAAATACTGTGGAGTAGCATTGTCTTTGCCTTGCCCTTGGCTTTTAGTGCTTTAAGGAGGGAATGTGCTTATTGTTGAGCAGAAACGACATCTGGGAGAGGATGGGGGCAGGCAGTCGCGGTCTGTGCGGCCCCCAGCCGCATTTCCCAGCCAGATCCCAAACAGTGCAAGTCATAAGGAGCTTTCACACCCTGTTTCTCTCCAAGGCTCCGTCTACTTAAAATACTTCCCTCCCTGCCAAAAGGGATATTGAAAAGTGACTTTGCAGCAATTTTCGCACATCTTCCCGCTCAGGCTTTTCAGCCGAGGGCTATCTTGAAATGTTGCATTTTCCCTTTTAACTTAACTATCCAAGCAATTGTCTACTAAATGCTTTGTTGTGATTTACAATTTGACTTGAATAAATCTGGCTAATACCCCAAAAGGAAGAAAAGAAAAAGGCGTTTCCAGGAGAAATCACCCCCTGAGAAGACTGGAGAGTGTTGGAGCCTTCTGCAGACCTTGGGGTCCCAGCAGTGTCAGGTCCTTGGTTCCTGCTCCCCGGTACCACTTGGAGGCTCTCTCTTAACTGCCCAGGAAGCCCCGGGGATCCCTGCCTTGCTGAGACACCTCAGAACTGCTCTGGCACGAGAGCTTGCAGAAGCAGTCCCGTGCGTTGCTGAAAACAACCTGGGAAGCTGTCTGTCTCTCTGCTTGCTCTTCTCTTGTCAGCTCCAGAGGCCCTTTCCTGCTCTTCTCCAACTCTGGGATCTGATGTTCCTGCTCCACCACTGTTCCACAAGCAGCGCTCCCTCCTCATTTCCTCCCTACTTTTGCCCCACCTGCTCTACCATGATATAATTTCCTTCCTACCTGTGATGCCACCGGAACCCCAGAGGACTGGGCCTGCAGAGTCCGTGACCCTGTTTGACACTTGGCTCTCTGAGCTGTTTTCCCCATCTATGTAACAAAGGGATAGGATCAGATGATTTTATTCCCCATTCTAGCTCCAAATTTTGAGTCTTGAGATTTTTCTCTTCCTTTGGCACTTCAGATAAAACAGAGCAGGCACCACCCCCAGCTGCTGAAGGACCTGGAGCTGGTCAGTGATGTGGCCATTGCCCAGGGGCCCTGAGCTGTAGCCTGGGGAGGCCCTGCTGCACTGCACCCGCCCAGCAGCTGAGGGTGCAAAGGCGTAGGCAGGCAGGGAAGCATTCAGGTGGCTAGGCTCGGATTTTTCTAGATTTGCCATCTCAAGTGACTTAATTGCAGCTGAGTTAGGTCAGCAAATACCAACAGATGATGATCAACATGAATAAAGTGGTGACTTTTTGTGTGTACCTTAGTAGCCAAAACTCATGACGATAGCTTATCTGTGCACATGCTGCTGTTTTTAGATTTTTAAAATAAACTCTGTTTTAGGATAGTGTTAGATTTACAGACGAATTGTGAAGCGTACAGAGCTTGCATGCGCCCCTCACCGTTTCCTGTAGTAATGTGTGCCTTACTCTGGTGGGTACATTGGTTACAATCAGTGTTGATGTGCCATTGCTAACTGTCATCCATATTTGATTCAGGACCCCGCATTGCATTTACTCCTCACATCTCCTTAGCTCCTCTAGGATCTGACATTTCTCAGACTTTCTGAGTTTTTAAGGACCGTGACAGAACCAGTCAGGTATTTTGTAGAATGGGATGTGCCTGCTGATTTTCCCATGGTTAGCCTGGGGCCGTGTGTTTTGGGGCAAAGACCAAGGAGGTGAAGTGCCCGTCACATCACATGCCCACGTGTCTGTCACTGCTATTGGCCTCAGGCACTTGCCGCAGGCGTTGGCTCTCGAGTTTCCCCACTGAAGAGTTTATATATCCTCCCACCTCCTCCCTTCCATCCTGGACTCTGTGGAAGGAAGTCTCTTCCTTTCAGGTGTGGGGAGCAGAGCTCCCCCTTTCTGAGGGTGGCTGCTGGTCTGTCCTTGCTGAGGGCTCACCTGTTGCATCTGGCTGGGCAAGGTGGGCCTGTAGGTGGGAGGAAAGCAATTCTCAGAGCCATCTCACAAGGCATAAGGTGTCGTGGACCGTCACGGGGCATGCTCCATGTGACAGTGGGATGAATGAATACGTGTCCTCTTGTGATAAGTGCTCAGGAGCATATCAGACATGCATATTTATCATATACCATAGAACGCATTGGGCTGACATTCCAGCCCAGAGGAAAAGTGCTTCCTGGAGGAGTAACAGTGATGAAAAGCCCTCACTTGTAAAAACTCAACAGTTTTCTGCTTAGACCTATCTCTTTGTTACCTTAAAAGTGGAGGCAACATGCTCCTTACCCTGGGGATCCTAGAAAAATCTACCAAAAAGAAACAAAAAAAGGCATTTTTATTGCTATTCTGGGTCTGTGAGTTTTAATAATTTAATAATGAAATTAAGATGTGGTTTGATTTGCCTTCTATTACAGCGTACTTGAAATAACACCTTGTTTTTCCTGGTGTATCGCCTGATGACTGAGTGTAGAAACACTGTCATTAATGCATGTTCCTCTACACATCATTTTCACCCGTGGAAGAGTCTCCATTAAGAGGAGCTGAAATAACTGCGGAAGCTCAGAGACCGCAAAGTGAAGTCTGCGTGCTTCTGACAATCGGCGGTGGGATTCTGCGAATGAAATCATTTTAGCAGGAAATGATTATGAAGGACCTGATCACTGTGTGTGCTTCGGTAATGCGATAAGATGAGAGTAATGAGTGAAATGAGGAGCAGTCAGGAAACGTCTTTGTTCTTTTTCAACAGATCTGAACAGCAACATGGGGTGCAAAGTCCTGCTCAACATTGGCCAGCAGATGCTGCGGCGGAAGGTGGTGGACTGTAGCCGGGAGGAGACACGGCTGTCTCGCTGCTTGAACACTTTTGACCTGGTGGCCCTTGGGGTGGGCAGCACGCTGGGTGCCGGCGTCTACGTCCTGGCTGGAGCGGTGGCCCGTGAGAATGCGGGCCCTGCCATTGTCATCTCCTTCCTGATCGCTGCACTGGCCTCGGTGCTGGCCGGCCTATGCTACGGGGAGTTTGGTGCTCGGGTCCCCAAGACAGGGTCAGCTTACCTCTACAGCTATGTCACCGTTGGGGAGCTCTGGGCCTTTATCACCGGCTGGAACTTAATCCTCTCCTACATCATCGGTAGGTCCCAGGGAGCCTGGAGCTTGTGCTCTCTGCCACTTTTCTGTTGGCTCCCAGCTCCAGTGTGGGCGGATGCCCCATGGGGAAGTCATTCTTGTTAACGTGAGAGTCACAGAATTAATGGGATGTTTCTGAATCATTTAAAAGTATTTAGTTTCTTTTAGTATGTTTTTTGATTACTAGAGCAAATGCATCACTGATAGAGAAAAATTGGGGAAATAAAAGCACAAAGAAGAAAGTAGAAATACCCTGCCTGACAACCTGGAGAAACTAATTCTCTTATTCCTTCCTTCCTTCCTTCATTCTTTCTTTTAATAAATGTTTATTGAGTACCAGCTCTGTGCCGGGCATTGTGCTAGATACTAGGGAATCCCATGAAGGCATAAGACACTCTCTTATGTTCCCATGAAGGCATAAGACAGCCTCTGTTCAGGAGTTTACCATCTACCGATACAACTATTATTAACATTTTTTGTGAATTTAAATGTGTGTTTTTGTACAGTCTATCTCTTTATAAAACAATGTATAGGAAACATTTCTCATATCGTTAGCTGTTTTTCCATAGTAATACTTGTAATGCTTGCCTACCGTCATGTAGATTTATACACACAGCGTAACGTATAGGCTGTCTTTATGGGACATTCAGATTGTTTCCATGACATTCTTGCTGTTGTTATACACAGTTAATTACTTTATGTCTTGGGGCTTAGCCATGATTCTTTTCCTTAAAACTGTCTAAGGAGCAGAATGGCTCTCGGTGAGTCTGCGTGTTTTTAAGGCCTTTGTTGACTGTGATCCTCACGTAGCCAGGGCCCCTTTCCCTGCAGTGTGGGCACAGGGCTTCGGCCTGTAACATAACCACCCAGCAAATAAAGAAGCAGACATAGAAAATCTTTCCAGTTTGCCAGGTAAACATGCTTTGCTTCTCTTTATGCCTTTTTTTTTTTTTTTTTTTTTTTTGATTACAACTGAAATTGAACACATCCAGTTAAAAGAAACAAACACCTAAGTCTCAGAAGCAGCAAAGGGTACCAATGGCCACTCGACATGCCATTTATTTTTTTCCGCAAACTTTTTGGTAATAGCGAAAAATAGTAAGACTTGGTAAGTTGAGCCATGTAGGTCCCATCTTGCTTCTGTTTCAGCTCCCACTGGGCCCTACCCCACCCTCTCTGCCACACATGCTGCCTGCCAGGACCCTCACTGCCCTGGGCTCCCTACAGCACTATCTCTGCATGGGGGGGCACCACTGCCCCTTCATCAGGACAGCTGGTGGAGGGCACACACTCATGCTCTCTGAGCAGCACCTTCTCTTTCTTTCCAGCAGCTGCAGTATCTGCTGAGAGCCAACATAGCTTACTTTTCTGAATTCTAAAATAAAATTCATAATGTTTTCTTTCAGTGCCACATCAAAACTTACAACCACACATGGTTCTCACAAGCTGAAGTCTCTCAGTGGGAATGTAGCTATTGCAAATGGACCGTCATGTTTCCAGAGGATTTACCTGAGCATAAAATACACATTGAGCATGAAGTGCTTGCAGCATCTAGACCAGCAAATGAAAGGCTCTGTCAGAGTGCCGTTGGCTTGTGTGAGGCCATTTACATGCATTCTAAAAATTTCTTTGCAGCCTTAGCTGCTGGGAAGGGCAGTTTTTCCAGCAAACATTTTTTTTGTTAAAGGCGTGATTTAGAAATTGGAAGGGGGTAGGCTGGGAAGAAAAGCCGGGTAGCCCCTCTCATCCAGCAGGACAGGGTTTGGCTGCCAGATTTGCTGTGAGCCAGCCGCTCTGGGGGTGACAGGGAGATGGTGAGACCATTTTTATAGAATTCATATTAGACTGGCTGCTCGGGAGAAAGAAATGTGGTTAAACTTCTGATCGTTGCAGAGATACTTACCATAAGATCAAATAGTGAAATTGAATCTCTGCAGATCACTCTGGCAAAATGCTGTGGATAATTAGGACCATGGTCACCAACAGGGCCCCCTTTGAAAATAAAGGAAAGTGCTCTCTGCATATACTGGAATTTTAGTGCCATTTCCTGAGACACATCACTGGAAGCACGCTCTGACTGTCTTCAGAATTAAAGAGAGTGAAAGAGAGCAGCCAACTCTTCTTGGTGTTTCGGGTGCCGCCCTGCTGGCGTTCTTCAGCGCTGGAGGGCGTAGGCTGCGGGGAGAATGAGGAGGGCTGGGCTCTGTCTGTGCTCCTGCACTCTGGGGACGCCGTGGCCTCCAAGTCAGGTTCATGCACAAAGTGGCAGAGGTGGCTGATGCCTGCTTTGAGGTGAGCAAGTGGCTTTGTCCCTGAGATGGGGTACAGCCCCTTCAAGGACCTCCTAGGACCGTTCTTCTTGCTGGGAGAACAATGTTTTGGGGGTGCAGGTACCATCACCTCTGCTACCAAGGGGCTCCTAGAAAACAGGCTTCCTAAGCAGTGTTTGCCCAGACTGCCAGTTGTACCCCAGGAGTGCATTATGAAGTCAATTTTTCATGTGTTGTCATCAGTATTTACTTTTTTAGATGAAAATAGGTACCATTAAATACTGTCAGAGTGCCTCTCAGATGGTAAGGGCAACACTTGTTTTGCAAACTTTTATTCAGATGTATATATTTGATAGACACCTGTGCATATTGGGTAGGATGTGAAATGCATTCCCCTGCAGGCCCTAGAAGCCTTCTCGCACTTGGCACTGGTCACCCATCACTTCTGGCTCAGCGTGCACTGTGGTCTGGCTGCTGCCGTGAGATTCCGGTGCGCCGCCTGTGACTCCTGCAAGGATGCTGTCAGCCTGGAGCTCCACTACAAATACCTTGCTAACCGTTGTCCTCCCATCCCCTCTGTTGTGTGTGCTTTGTGGCAGGTACTTCAAGCGTAGCAAGGGCCTGGAGTGCCACCTTCGATGAGCTGATCGGGAGACCCATCGGGAAGTTCTCGCGGACACACATGGCTCTGAACGCCCCCGGCGTGCTGGCCGAAAACCCTGACATATTCGCCGTGATCATAATTCTCATCTTGACAGGTAAAGCCCACGCCGAGAAAGAGATGAGGTCAGAGTGTTGGGCAGAGGTTTGGTGAGAGGCTCCCGTTAAGCTCCTTTCTTTTCTCGTCTCTTTAACCATGACCCCCATCTCTTTTTGTTCTGTTTTTGTGCTTCATGCAGGCATCTTTATGTGTCCCTGTCTTCATGGCTTCTTATAGATTCATACAGGGCTGGCCTGCTTCATAGCTGTTGAGTTGTGTGCTGTCTCATTAAAAGAGAATCTTAGGTGTTTAGCCTAGCCGTTTGTGGAGCAAGATTTTGTCAGCACTGGGCAGGCTTTTTATGTGAGTATCCTGGGAATAAAAATTCTTTTGACTCAGTGGATGACCATTTGGAAAGCAAAGCTGTCATTCATCCGCCAGGAAAATGTGGAGGAATGAGCCCCGTCTGGAACACGAATGTGTGCCTGGGGCGTCTGAAGACCACTTGGATGGTTTTACACCTAACAACCATCAAAACACCCTTGCAATACATAAGTTTCACGACAGAGTTGTGGTTACAGAATTTGAAAAATCCCAGAGACTGCCCAAACACAGCTGATAGCAACTTCTTGCTAGTGACATTTGTGCGTGTCTTGGCCAGGGGGATGCGAGTTTTGCTCTGTGGGACTCCGTAAACATGAAGCTGAAATGCAGATAAATTCTCATTTGGGGTTAGAAAATCTTGGATGAGTTTTAAAAACGACATGCCGTATTTTACATACCACATAACTGAAATAACTTCACTCAGGCTGGTCTCAGCAGTATTTCGAGTCCAGCTGGCAGAATCATGCATCAGAAAGTAAGTCTGCACTCGTGAGATTTCATTTTAATAAACCTGAGAGGGAGGGACACTAAAGAAAAAAATATGTTGGTGCATGTCGAGGTGTTCTCCCTGTGATTAATTACACAATTATCTTCTACATCTGTACTTTGGAATTCAATCCCATAGGTACAGCAATTTTTATTTTATTTTATTATATATTTTATTTTATTTTGAGACACAGAGTCTTGTTCTGTCGCCCAAGCTGGAGTGCAGTGGCGTGATCTCAGCTCACTGCAACCTCTGCCTCCTGGGTTCAAGTGGTTTTCACGCCTCAGCCTCCCGAGTAGCTGGGATTACAGGCACATACCACCACACCCAGTTAATTTTTTATATTTTTAGCAGAGATAAGGTTTCACCATGTAGGCCAGGCTGGCCTTGAACTCCTGACCTCAAATGATCTGCCTGCCTCAGCCTCCCAAAGTGTTGGGGTTAGAGGTATGAGCCACTGTACCCAGCCAGTTTTTATTTTAAAACTATGAGAGGCGTCCATAGTAGAGCAGTGGTCTCAAATTCTGGCTGTGTTCGAGTGGTACCGGCCCCTTCGGTGCCACTTTTCTTGCCCAGCGGAGAGTTCAGCTATGGAAGTACCTCTTTCAGCTATGAATGGTCTCTTCACTCTAAGGTGATGCTGGGGTATACACCTCAAAGGCAGCGCTGCCAGAGGTTCCTGGGCATCTTTATTACTTACTTTTCTTAAAAAAAAAAAAAAAAAAAAAGTGAGTTTGCAAGCTAGAGCTAGTCTAGTTCAGATGTTATTTTATGTGCACTGAGTCCAGTGAAGAACCATGTATGTTAGTGGTTCCAGAACCTCAGCCAGCTGTTACTGTCAATATCACTAACATCCCAAAGTCAATCAGAACAATTTCCTCATCTGCAAAATGCCCATTCTCCCAGGAAACTGAGCAAAGTGTTTCCTCCTGGATTTGCTCCTGGAGATTGCTTCCCAGCAACACATCCTTTTAGTGAGAGGGAGCAGCTTGGTGTGTGGGTCCAGACCTTCTTCTCCCTATGAGAGGGGCTCATGCTCCAGATCTCTGCAGTCCTCTGGTGCCTCTTGGGTGGGTGTCTCAGTTCCCAAGGCCACCTAGGAAACCCTGGGAAGCACCCCACAACCTCAGTGATTGAGACCCCTGCTCCTTGCCCCTAGAAAGATCATTAATCCACCCCATTCCCAGAAGCTCACAGAGGTCTGCAGACGCTCGATGCACTTGGATTCTTTTTCAGTCGCCTTCTCATCCCTATCCAGGAAGGACCTCCTAGTTCGTGGTTAACACTCAGACAAGGTTTTCTGTCTATCCGTTTTTTCAGGACTTTTAACTCTTGGTGTGAAGGAGTCGGCCATGGTCAACAAAATATTCACTTGTGTCAACGTCCTGGTCCTGGGCTTCATAATGGTATCGGGATTTGTGAAAGGATCAGTTAAAAACTGGCAGCTCACGGAGGAGGATTTTGGGAACACATCAGGCCGTCTCTGTTTGAACAAGTGAGTTGCTGCTTCTGACCATTTTTCTTATTTGATATTTAGTGACACAGACATGTATTGGGGCATGTAACTGGCCAGGAAGGCATGTGCCTTTAAAAAAACATTATTTGAGTATATTTTGTTAATTTTTTTTTTCTTTTGCAGCAAAGTAGCTGAGTGTATTTCGTATGTTTCAAGTTTGTGTGAAGGTTTATTCCCCTGAAATGGAAAGACTATTTTATGACAAGAAAGATGGAGGAAAATAAGATCATCACCCTAATTCCAAATTGTGTATATTTCAGGATTCTTGTCAGATCTCATTAAATGATCCTTCTTTCCCCAGATTCTGTTTGATGGCCAAGTTCTGAATTGCATATTCAGAAAGGATTTTTCTCTGCAGTGCCATGGTGACCTAACTTTACCTTTACATACCTTCCTATTATATAAATAACGTAGACAGAAGAGAAATATGTGGAACTTTTTTTGAAGGTTTTCAGAATGACCGAAGTGTCAGAATGTGAGCACGACTGTCTCTTTTCCAACATCTGACTTGTGCTGCTCCAGCCCTGACGATGGTGGCCCCTTCATCCTCATGCCTCTGATGTGGACACCCAGAGCTGAGGTGACAGCTCCCCCCTGGGCCATCTCAGGCCTCTCACCCAGCCCTCACTGACAAGCTCAGATTACCTAGGAAACAAAGCCAAACAGTCATAATGTATCTTTTTTCATCTTTTGTCAGATCTTCAGGTAATACTTTAGGTCCTAGGATGGAGAATGGGGAGTTGAATTTTGTGTGAGATTCTTCATTAAGACTGAAGGTTGAAACTGCTACGATAAAGAGACCCTCCCCATGGCATCCGCCCCCCACCCCCGCCCCAGGCAGAATGGGGTGGCTTTATTTTATTTTATTTTTTTGAGATGGAGTTTTACTCTTGTTGCCCAGGCTGGAGTGCAATGGCGTGATCTCAGCTCACCGCAGTCTCCGCCTCCTGGCCTCCAGCAATTCTGCCTTAGCCTCCCAAGTAGCTGAAATTATAGGCATGCACCACCACTGCTGGCTAATTTTGTATTTTTAGTAGAGACGGGGTTTCTCCATATTGGTCATGCTGGTCTCAAATTCCCAAACTCAGGTGATCCATCCCCCTTGGCCTCCTAAAGTGCTGGGATTACAGGTGTGAGCCACCGTGCCCGGCCAATAGAGTGGCTTTAAAGAGATGTTTCCACTCCTGAAGTGAGCAGTCCAAGTTGGCTGGCCAGCTCTGCCACAGGCCTCTGGGGACCCACACATCTTCCGTCTTGCCCTGTCTTCCCCCAGGACGTTGTCCTCATTTGCCTGGTCAGAGCTGGCTGTAAGCACATTCATGGCCCAACTCTCCCAGGAGGGAAGGGAATGCATGGAGGAGTGCTCAGGACTGTTCAGGGCAGACCCCGATGGCACACAGACATTCCATTGGCAAGAGTCCACTGGAGGCCACACTGAGCTGCAAGGGAGGCTGAGCAGCGCTGTCTGTCATTGGGAATCTTAGCAGTCACATATGCCCAATTGGTCCCTGGTTCAGGGCCAGGTGCCCAGCCATGCCCTCCACTGTTGTTACCAGCAGGCAGCCATTGATGTGTGACTAGCTTACTGCTTGAATGGAGACAGGAAACTAGGGCATTCGGTGCACAAAACTTCACTAACACGAATATTATGTGGTTAGCAGTTCTAATAAAAATACCCTTGCTGTCCTAAACTCCAAAACAGAGAAATGAGAACTTTTAATATGCCATCCCAAGCTTTCCAGAGTCATATTTATGCCAAATTTGTGGGTGCCCATTAATTCAGGGTACAGTAAAGCCAATTCCAGCTGTGCTTTGAGGTAACATAGTAGCCTTTGAAAACTCTGAGAGCATATTTGACCTGTTGCTATTTTCAGGTCAGGCATCAACTATAAAGGGTGCCTCTTGTTAACTGGTTGCCAATCGAGATTTAATTTTGTTATTTTTATGAAGAGATTGTTTGTGCCAGCCCATGGTATTTACTTTTGCGGCTCATCCTCACACTGATGCCCTGGTAATGAAGAGCCGTACTGGCCCCCAGACAAAGCAGCATTTGTTGTCCCAGCCCCTGGTCACAGGTGGGACCCCCTCAGCTATATCTGGAGGCCTCACTGCCAGGGCCCAGCTCCCCGTCTGCAGGGACGGCAGGGGTTGGCCGTGTTAGGAGGTGGGGTTCTGCAGGACTGAAGCCTCGCTGCCTGCCCTATCGTTTTGTTAAAATCTCTTAAGCATCTTTCTTTCTTTTTTTCCCCAGCCATAGCTTTGTGTTTCTGACAACACAGCCATGTAGTCTTGCATGAAATTGCTTGTTCCTCTGAAATGGTAGGGCACTGCCCAGCCAATCCGTATAACGTGCAGGAGCTTCAGCGTGCATGGGAGTCCATGTGACCACGTGGGCTTGTGATTTCAGGATGCTGTCTCCTAGCTGTCTGGGAAGACTCCTGGGAGCTGGCTCGGTCTGTCTGTTGGTCTGTGAAGAGGAGTGTTACCTTCTGGTCTGGATGGCTCCTCATGCCTTTGACTCATGCTGTTGCTGGCATTCCCATCCAGTGTTCTGTGGATGTAGCAATAGTGAAACATTGGGGGGTGAAACAACCCCCAGTGGAAGCCTGTTCAGAAAGCTTTGTTGAATGGTGTCTGCCAGTTAGGATGGAAGCCCCAAAATAACATTGGCTTCAACGAGATAAGGGTTTGGTTTTCTCCGGTCAACCTCTGGGGGTGGTCAGTCCAGCATGTCACTTTACCCAGCCAGGAATCCAGGCCAAGGGCCCCAGGCTTCTCCCATGCAGCTAGCAGGATGGACAAGGGAACAGCAGGGGGCTGTTTCTCAGCAGATGTAGATGCCATGTCTGCTCAAACCTTCTCCATCAGAACTTAGCCAGCTGGCTACCCCTTGTAGCTAGTGACTCTGGGAAACATACAGTTCTAGGCTCATGATTCTTAAGGCTCATATGTCCAGCTGCAATACTTAAGGCTTCCATTACTTCATAGAAGAACAGGAGAGTGTGGCTTCTGAGGACAACCAGCAGTTGATGTCAGGGTGGCCGGTGTGAGTGCGGGCAGCGGAGCCCTGCTGCAGGATGTTCACTGCAGATGCAGTAGGAGACCCTCGGGCTTGGCCCCTTTCTATGCCAGGGTCTTCCCCGCTTCTGAGCGACCAGCTGAGCAGAACACAGAAGGGCTGGTCAAAGGCTGCAAGGCGGGGAGTGCTGAGCTGAGACCAGGACTCAGGCTTATTTTGTCTCGGGGTGACATTTGCTGGGTGAGGGCTCTTGGTAGCCCTTCTCCTTATCATGTGAGTTACCAGATGATGAGTGAACACAACCGCCACATGCAAGTAACAGGTTAATTATTGATTATCTACAAAGAGACCATTATGAAATGCTTTTACATGTTTTGGTTGCGCCTCTGTAGATTGGGTTCTGTGGTTATTTTGTGTTGATACTCTGCCACTGGCATCAGTAACACCCAAACTTTTCTTAAAGGTTGAATTTGATTTTTTGAGTAGGTAAAATACTACATGGTTCATAGATCATAATGCTTTAAAAAAGATTTGCAGTGTGTTCCTTTCTTCATCCACCTTATCTCCCACCCCACAGGTAAACTTTTTAAGGTGTGTGTGTGTGTGTGTGTGTGTGTGTGTGTGTGTAAGCTTCCAGTTTCTCTCCGTGTAAGTACAAGCAAATGCAATCATGTATAGTCCTTTTCTGTTACACAAAACATGGCGTTCCATATACATTGTTCTGCACCTTGCATTCTTGCTTACTAGAATTCCCTGCAGATTTTTTTTTTATGAGGCCCTTGTTCGTTGTTATGGTTGCCCCAGGTTTTGGCACCCGAGCCCTCCTGAGGTCGGGTGTAGGTCCTCCTGAGGTCAGGTGTAGTGGTGCAGTATAAGGAGCAGGTGTGGCAGGGTCACAGTCAGTGGGGCCAATTTGCAGATGCTCACGGTTGTACACAGCTCTGCAGGTGATGCAGCACAGCATGTGCCTTCACCCGATTCCGTCAGCTGGAGGGTTATCCGGTCTCTCCTGCAAGGATGCTTTTAGTTTTGCCTCCTCTCTTTGTGCCCACCCATCTCCCTTCCTTCCTTCTCTCCACGCTTTTACTATTGTGTGTGCTTTACCTGTCTGCGTGAGGAAGACACATTCCAGCCCTTCTTAGTCCTCTCTGTGAGCTCATCTCTTTCTGGGGTTTAATTGTGTATGCAGTTCCCTGCACTTTCTGCTTGCCCTGAAATGGGGGTTTCAGGACCTTTCTGGGTGCCTCTGCCTCATGGTTGCCTAAAGCTCATCTATCCATGATAGCATTCATTTTTAAAATTTATTTTACAGACAACATTTTGCTGTGTTGCTTAGGTTGGGGTGCAGTGGCACAATCTTGGCTCACTGCAGCTTCAAACTCCTGGGCTCAAGCAATTTTCCCACCTCAGTTTCCCAAGTAGCTGGGACTATAGTCACATGCCAACATACCCAGCTAATTGGAAAAAAATTTTTTTTGTACTGATGGGGTCTCACTATGTTGCCCAGGCTGGTCTCTAACTTATGGCCCCAGGTGATCCTCCCCTCTCGGCCTCCCAAAGTGGACATGCATTTATTTTAATGTAAGGCCATGTTGGTAGCTCTTGATGCCATAGGAGCTGAATGAGGCAGGAGACTTTTCACTGCCTGCCAGTCACCCTGGCCGCCCACGTGGGGCCCCCAGAGGACATTTTGACTCTTGAGTTCCCCTCCTCCTGTGGTCTTATCCTCCCCCTCCTGAGCCATTTGGTTGTCGCCTGTTTTGTCTTAAGCATAGGCCGCTGTATAACAGAAGCCGTTTGTGAGGGTGGGAGCTGGTGGTCAGCAGGGCCTCTGGCCTGGGAGGCGAGTGGGTTTGGATGAGGCGGGCACAGCGCCACTCCAGCACGTTGCTGTCCCGTGACCCTGCTGACTTATTTGTCCTGGGCTGCTTGGTTTTGAACTGGGGTTGCTAGTTTTAGTCATACTCTAACAAACAACAAACTAAAATTTTGTTTGGCCAGTTTTCCCGACATCCATCACTTGTACATTTCTGGGGGTTTCCTCTCGTTACTGGTTGTGGAACCACAGTGAACCCCACATCTAAATGAGCTTGCTCATGCGTGTACTTCGAGTGTCTTCATGGCAGTTTCCATAACTGACAGATGTGATGATCCTCTAGGAATTAGTAAGGCTTAATCCCCATTAGAAAGGAGCTGGGTCCATCCCGTCCGTCTGTCTGTCAGCCAGTCAGTAAATCCTACTGAAAGCAAAGTTCACCAAATGGGCTGCCACCCAACCTGAGGAACGTCAGTGTTTATAGGATTGGGAGCATCCTATAGGGTTCCTCTCTTCTTGCTGCCAAGGTTTAGGACAGGTTGTCCTGTGCAGCTGGGCAGCTGTCGGTATGGTTGAGTGGGAGGGATAGACATGGATGGTGAGTGTCCTCTTGGACTCCAGGCCAGCCGCTGGGACGCCAGAACAGGACAGAAAGCCCGCAGCCCTGTGGCTGGCAAAGGGTAGATGCAGGGGTGGGAATAGGGGCTGCCCTTTGGAACTACGAGGAGTGCAGTTGCTTTTCGGGTGGCAGCAGAGGGCCAGATGCAGAAGGCTTAGAGTGACTTGGTGACCAGCAGGGCCTGTGTGCCTCCTAACCAGGCGTTGGTGGCCAAGGAAGCCACCTGCACTGACTGTACGGTTCACCCCCGGAACACAGCATGTCGGGGAGTCAGGCAGACCAGGGCTTCATACTTCGGGGAACAGGGGCTTGAAGGACCCCAGACGGGGCCCTGGGAGGGGCCATAGCGCCACACTGAACCTGGGCATCGGGTCTCGGCATGGGTGTCAGACATATTTTCTGAATGTTTACACAGCCTGCTTCCTCTGGGCTCCTGGGTTTGTCAACTGTGCTTGCCTTCGCATCCGTCAGTTTAGTAAAGGTGTGCTGAGCCCCTCCCATGGGCCAGAGCCCGGCTGTGTCTGAGCCCTGCACACCTGGCAAAAGCTGTGCGACCCCTGTCTCCACCTTGTGCATACAGGCACTTAAGGAATGCCTTTGCTGACAAAGACAGTATGCTTTTATTTTAGCCTTGGTTTCTCTGGAATTGTTTTTTTTGAGATTGAGTTACTGGTAAATATGGGACCCGGGGAGGGACTGGCTGGCGGCTCTGCCTCCTTCCTCCGAGGGCCCTGGGGAGAAGGTGTGGGACTGGCCACGTGCTGGTTTCTCCCCCATTTCCTGTTGGACCCCTGCCTCACAGTGTCCACCTCTCCCCACCCTAGCTATTGTTTAGAAAATGCTCCTGGAAAGGGCGATACTCTGTACCCTTCTGGCCCTGGGCCATGAACAGCAGGGAGGCCTGTGCCCACAGAGTGGCATGCCGAGGCTGGACTCAGGGAGGGCTAACCACCCGGTTCTCTTCCTGTCAGGAGGTGAGCACAGCTCCTGATGCCAGACTGCGCAGCGTGTGTCGTGACCTTTGTTTGTGTCCTTTTTTCTAGTGACACAAAAGAAGAGAAGCCCGGTGTTGGTGGATTCATGCCCTTCGGGTTCTCTGGTGTCCTGTCGGGGGCAGCGACTTGCTTCTATGCCTTCGTGGGCTTTGACTGCATCGCCACCACAGGTATGCCTGCCAGCTCACCACGGTCCTGGGTCCCCCCGCACCCCTGGCAAACAGGCCGGTGTTGCTTATGGCTTGCCATTGCCCTTTTTGCTGGCACGGTCTGGTCGCCACTCTTTTACACATGGGCAATGTGTGGATTTGTAGCTTCCTACCAACCCCTTCCACCCCCAAACCATTATCACATCCCCAAGTGTCAGCACCTGATGGAAGCTGCATCTCGAATGAGGCTAAGGTTCTGATGCTAGAATGGGATCACAGCCGTGTGACTGTGGCCTGATTTCATATCTGAGCATCTTCCGGGAGGAATGAGGCCATTCACAACATTGTCATCCTGGTGGTCTGAATGAGCCAGGCTTCAGTGGACCTCCCAGATTTTCTCTGCCAAAGGAAACAAATCTCTTCCTTTGCTGCCCCACCACGTTCAGGCTCAGAACACTGTCGCAGGGCCATGGGCTGTCTGATGTGTCTTTCTGTGCACCACCCTTCCGCTCCCAGAAGCCCAGGAGGCCCCCGTGCCCACAGGGCCGAGCGCTGGGGGGGAGGTGTCTCACCGTGTTGCGTAGGTTCCCTGGCACTGAGAGCCTTGGGTGTCATGTGGGCAGATGTGCTGCCTCTTATTGTGTGCCCTCCTCTACTGACCCCTTGGTGCTTCTAGGTGAAGAGGTGAAGAACCCACAGAAGGCCATCCCCGTGGGGATCGTGGTATCCCTCCTGATCTGCTTTATCGCCTACTTTGGGGTGTCAGCTGCCCTCACACTCATGATGCCCTACTTCTGCCTGGACAATAACAGCCCCCTGCCCGACGCCTTTAAGCATGTGGGCTGGGAAGGCGCCAAGTATGCAGTGGCCGTGGGCTCCCTCTGTGCCCTTTCCGCCAGGTGAGATGCCTTTCTGTGGTGGCTGCTCCTAGGGTTGGAACCACCAGCAGGGGTCAGGCTGTAGCAGACCAGGTACAGCCATGGGAGACACACGTCGGCTGCCAGCATTCTTTACCCTTGAAATAGAGCCGGGACCCAACCCAGCCCTGATCATGTGGCTTTTCCCTTGTTGTCAGTATTCATCACCCCAAGACATGTGTTATTGAGATTTTCATCCTGAAGAACCCGAGGCTGGCTTTTCAGCATCATCTGCTTAGCAAGGGACTGGCTCTCTGTCCCTGACTCTGGCCACTGGACCAGGCCACCTGTTTGAACACCATATTTTGGCCCTCAGTTTGGCTGTAATGCAGAAGCTACTTTGAAGAAGGGAATAAATGCCTTTTAATGAGAAACATTTTCCCCGCTGGTATTTCCTTGTAGCCTGTGTAAACAGAGCTATTTGGTAAATATTGATTTACCTCAGGGAAATCCTCATGAATGCAGTGATGCTTGTATTTTCTGTTTGATTCAGCTGGAAATAATTGCAGGAATAAATACAGTTTTGCATCTGTAAAGACTGTACTGGGTCTCATGCTAGTGTATGTGAGATAGATGTTCTCTGTTCTTTACCTTAATCCATACTCACAGTGTGTGCTCTTTCTGGGGTTGATTTTTTTAAATGCCAAGTGTTTTAGCCACAGGCCTCACCCAGCATGGAGGGATGGTAGCTCTTGGTGAGCTTAGACTCCTCCTTCACGGTAAACCGAGCATGGCTGGATGTGGTGCCTTTATCCCTTATGAGCTAGGGCTCTCACGCGGTTTGCCTCTCCCCATCTAGTCTTCTAGGTTCCATGTTTCCTATGCCTCGGGTTATCTATGCCATGGCTGAAGATGGACTGCTATTTAAATTTTTGGCCAAGGTCAATGACAGGACCAAAACACCAATAATCGCCACGTTAGCCTCGGGTGCCATTGCTGGTGAGTACTAGAACTCATTTCACATGTAAATATTTTCACAATTGAGTCGTTGATCCCTAGGGAGACATCTTGCATTGTTCTGGTCTGTAATTTTAACTGGTCTTTTTAACTCCTGGTTTTTATACTTGGAGCCTGGTTCATTGAAAGGTGACTGACCTTTTGACAAAAGTCAGAGGCAGTTTGACAGAGGATGGGATAGAATTTTCGAAGAGTTTGCACTCTGGTTTTCATCTCATTGGGAAGAGCTTAGAACACACACTATTCCCCTAAAATCTTTTCCCCCCATTTCTGGACGTTTCCCTGTCAAGGCCAGGCTGACACCTTCCTGCATGACACAGGCCAAGGGAGACTTCATGGGTACCTGGAAATTCAGCATCCGTGTTATAAATTCTCTGGAAAACAAGTGTCCCTTATGATCAGTGTTTTATGAAATGTGCTGCCTCTTCCCGAGGGAGTATCAAGGGTGTTGCTGATGAAGCTACCGCCCCTCAGTTGATACGTAATAGCAGACACAGTGGAGCTTCACCTTGTCAGATCAGCATTTTGTTGGATGAAATCAGTGGGGTGATGAACTCTCTGAGCTGTGTGGGTGTTCCAGGGCCCTGGATGAAGGGAAGGAGCACCCAAAAGGAAGCTCACGTGCACAGTGTACCTGTGGTGTTATGTTTCCTCCTTTTGCAATTGCATTTCCTAGCCCCGAAAGGCAAGACGCCAGCCTACTGTGCAGATGTAGAGGTGGAGGCCCAGGGAGGTGAAGTGAGGATATGCATTCAGGATGGTGGAGCCACCTTGAGATTCCAGGATTGTTTTCATGCCAAAGTGGCCAACCTCCTTCCCGGGTCTGAGTAGAGCAGTGGGTCTTTTTGGCAAATTAGGGCATGTGGTATCAGTCACAGTTTCCACTGCAGCGGCTTGTCCAGTAGCCATTGGTAAGGCACTTGACCTTCTTTCTTAAATGAATGAATTATTCGCTAAGTTTTATTACCACCTACTCCCTTAGCAAACTCTGCTTAGTTTTGTGGATTAATATTATATAATAAAACAAACCTATCTTTAAATTTTGAAACATCTTTTATGTGATTCTATGCTCTTGAGAGTGACCACAGTGGTCATATTGAAAGGCACTATACGTCAGAATTGGACCAGTATATTTACAGGATTAAGGATCTGGAAACAAAAATAGTTTTTTCAGGCTTTGCCCGGAATTTGATCATATTAAAGGCTGGCCTTGATTTCCTTTCCATGCTGATAGAGGGGGATCCAACCATGCTCTTTGAAGTGACTGTAAAGTACATGCCATTCACGAAATCCAGGCTTACCCTTTTCATTTGACGGCAGTGGGAAGTAAGTATTTGGTTATGTAAAATCACCTCACATGGAAGAAATTAGTCTCAAGTTCCCCGTGAGTAGGAACGTCGGCATTTGTGGCATGCACAGCTGGGTGCTGTTCTGATTATCAGAGGGTCCTCCCTCATCGCTCTTTAATTTTATGTTTTATCCTCCATTTAAATTTGTTTTAGTTGCAGTGATCTAGAGGAGCTTAAAAGATATTTGTGGAGAAATAATGGTTTTGTGTTTATTTTTTAGCTTGTGTTGATTCCATGTGTTTTGAAAATATCCCAAAGCAGATCTAGGCAAGATGTTTTTTAATGAGTACTTGACATACACACCCACATGAGTAGACAGGCATGCTCTCACAAAACTCACAAAAGATATTCAAATAAGGGTGCAGGTTTTAATTACATTTTAAAGGCAAGGGACACGGTGAATGGGCTGATACTATATTGTTTGAGAACAACTCTTCAGGTTTCTTCCACGTGAAGGGACTTCACATGTGAAGAACTCTGCTTTCCTGCTCATCTTCCTGGGTTAGGACCCCCTATGAGTGCCCCCAGAGCGCCAGAACTTCCCCTTCTCTACTGCCCACTGTTGTGCACTGATGCCTGTGTCTTGGGAGGGAGTACACTCAAGGAAGGCTGGGCAATGTGGCCTGCCCTGTTCAATGGTGAATACCTAGAATCCAATGATGGGCATGCCTTGATCGGAGCTGGATAAAGGATAGATGTTGAATGGATGGATGGGTGGATGGGGTGGGATGGGATGGATGGATGGATGGATGAATGGATGGATGGGTGGATAAGATGGATGGAAGATGGGCAGATGGATGAGATGGATTGATGGATGGTGAGTGGATGAATGAAAGATGGGCAGATAAACGGTTTAATAGAGAATGGATGGATCAATGGGATGGATGATGGATGGATACACATGAGTCTGTGAGTCAACATGGTCTAAAGAAAGACACATAGGACTCAGAGTCATAAGAACCTAGTTCACATCCTTATACCTATGCTTGTGAGCTGTGTGACCTTAGATAAGTCTCCTAACCTGTGTGAATGTCAGTTTCTCCATCTGTAGTGTAGGAATAGCTTACAGAGTTGCCATAAAAATTACAAGAATGAGAGTATTCTCTGTGCAAATGTCAACGATTACTATCGTCTGTTGAGGACTGTGTCTGTGATTTAGTCCTGAGCTTGACTTCCCTTTAAGCTGTGTCTTTCCGTGGGAAGGCCGGGGAGGGGGTGGGAGTAAAAGCAGCCCCCTTCTGTGCCCTGGATGGTGGGTGGTAGTGGTCCTGCTTGTCAGTGCAACCAGACGGCCATCCACAGATCCTGCTGTCTGTCTCTTCCCAGCTGTCATGGCCTTCCTCTTTGACCTGAAGGACTTGGTGGACCTCATGTCCATTGGCACCCTCCTGGCTTACTCGTTGGTGGCTGCCTGTGTGTTGGTCTTACGGTATGTATGGCTTTTTGGGGTTTCGTGACAGAAATGCAGAATGGAGGCACCTGATAGCCTTTTCACAGTTCAGCTATGGTTTACGTGATGAAACTTTTAGGTTGGTGACAGCTCCACTGGGAGCTGCCAAGGAAGGGGTAGGACCTAGGCTGACAGCCAAGTTAGGAAGACGTCCTTGGCAAAAGTTGGGGTGCCCCTCACCCTCCTCTATCATGTGCCCTCATTTTTCTGGCTAATGTTGGGTGGATAGAGACAGATTCTCAGCCCAAGTATTAGACCAGGATCTAGGGATCAGAATTTTTGAAGACTGATTGCAACTTGGTTCCAGTTCTTGAGACAGACAGGATTGAGGGCTACCTTGGTAGGAGTTAGGAAAACCCAAGGCCTGTGAAACTCAGGTCTGTGTGATGCTTCTGCGGCTTCGTTGCACTGTGGCTGGAGGAATGAATCCCACTGTGTGGCATGGGCACCCAGGTTGATGTTCAGGGTCACTGTCGAGGTCGGCTTGTTGTAGCCCGGTTGGGGCCAGGCAAGCCTCTTGCAGTTGCAGTAAAGCTGCTCTGGGCCTGGGCTTGGTGCCTTGGTGTTCCCACCTGCCCCAGCACACACTCCCAAAGCACAGCCCTGGCAGCATTCATCCTGAGAACCTGTGCTCACGGAGACACTCAGTACTGGTCTCCCCTCAAGAGCCTCCTTGTTTCTCTTCAGGCATCTCCACCTGCATGACTATTGATTGCATGTCCAACTTGCTCAGCAGCTGATGTACATAAAACCCAGGCTGAGCCTTAGCAGCAGCTCTGTAGAATCAGCTAAGACTATTGGGGACCCCTTATTCCTCCCAAGGGACCCAATGCTGAATAGTCTCTGAGGTCCCCCACTTTCTTAATTGACCGAGTGGTGTTGCACAAGGGAATCAGTGCAAAAATAGTTAATATCTTTATACTCCCTCTTAGAATTGATCATATGCAAAATAATTCATACAGCACTCCATTTTTCAAAGCTGGTGGAAAGGATTTGCACTCTGTTCATTTTGGGTGGGAAGATAAGGAACCTCATTCAGAACGGATGCTTCACCAGCTGGTATCTCATGTCTTGGAAATCATGCTGCAGGCTCGGCCCTCCAACCAGCCACATACAATGATTTACTCCAGGGTGCTTGGAGTTTAAAAAATGAATTGATCCAATTAAGTCACACAAACAGAATTTCTCAAATCCATCAGCCTGCAGCCACATTCCTCTGGCTCTTGGTGCCAAATAGGATCCTGGTGTTCCTGCTTTCTATTTCTGTCCTTCCTTTTAGCTCCCTACAGCCATAGTTTTGTGGGAAGTGGCCTAGTATCTTTAGCATCTGAGGGCCACTGCCACTTCCCTCGGGGTATTCCTCGGGGTTGCTCGTGGTGGAGTTCCTGTTGCCTGGAACCAGACCATGGAGGATGTTCTCCAGAAGCAAGAGCAGGAGGTGACATTCCCAGTCTCCTCTTAGTCTGCAGTGCAGCCTCTGACTATCTCCTTTCCATTTCATACCTCATGTCCCAGGCAGCTAACTTTGTAGTTTTACAGAAACTGACTTTGTAGAATGTGGGTTGCCCTTTTGCTTTAAGTGGATAATGGTTGGTCACACAATACATTTCTTCCCAGGTACCAGCCAGAGCAACCTAACCTGGTATACCAGATGGCCAGTACTTCCGATGAGTTAGATCATGCGGACCAAAATGAGCTGACTAGCACCAGTGATTCCCAGCTGGGTTTTTTACCAGAGGCAGAGATGTTTTCCTTGAAAACCATACTCTCACCCAAAAACGTGGAGCCTTCCAAAGTCTCTGGGCTAATCGTGAACATTTCAACTAGCCTCATAGGTAAGAGCTAGCCCTTCCCTGGGGCCTTGCTTGCTGGCATTGCGTGGTTTCTCGGCAGTGGAGCTGGAGTCGGGGGAAGGTGCCAGAGAAGCTGAGCGTCTGCCTTGCTCCTGGACTGAGGCATAGTTACTCTGTGCTAACTGTAGTTGATGCCTTTGGAAATGGAGCCTCTCTCTCCCCAAGTTTTGAGGAGAGCAGCAGATGCTTGTGGGAAACTGAGAAATGGTTGAGTTGCAGCTCGCTCTGTCTCTTCTTCCCCCTTAGCTGTTCTCATCATCACCTTCTGCCTTGTGGCTGTGCTTGGAAAAGAGGCTCTCACCAAAGGGGAGCTGTGGGCAGTCTTCATGCTTGCAGGGTCTGCCCTCCTCTGTGCCATGGTCACGGTCGTCATCTGGAGGCAGCCCGAGAGCAAGACCAAGCTCTCATTTAAGGTGAGCAGCTCGGCCTAGTGGGCCTGTTGCAAGGAAGGAACCCTGGTACACAGACCCCAGCCCTGCACAGGCTCAGCTGGGCCTGGGTGCTCCGGACGAAGGTGTTTACTGGTCAGTTCAGGTGCTAGGGGACAGGGGCCCTGAAGGCACTGAGAGGACTGGACCCTGGAAGGAGGCAGCCCTCCTCCTGTGGCTCTCCGGTGGTGGGACGCTTCTTGTAAATGTCTGCCCAGGTTGATCGCATGACTTTTCCAAGCCTTGGAGACAGGCAAGGCTTCTACATGTTTAGATTACACAAATAATAAAACAGACCTTAGAGGTAAAATGGAGGTCCATCTTCTAGTCCCTTCTTTAGCAGGAGAATCATAAGAGAGAAAAATCAGAACGGAGCCCACTTGGCCACTCAGAGCTTAGAACCAAATCCCCACCTACTGGGATTTACCCTTGGGTTTGCATGTGGAAGCGGGGGTGTTGGGGTGTGTGGGGTGGTGTTGGGGTGTGGGGGTGGGCATGCACTCTGTCTTCCTCACGCTCACCCGACAGTCCCCATCACTGTCTGGCGTGCTGCCTTTTGCTAGACAGTGTTACTGAACTGCTGGAACTGGCACCACTGCCACGGACTGAGGCCGCCTCCTGTCTCTGCAGGTTCCCTTCCTGCCAGTGCTCCCCATCCTGAGCATCTTCGTGAATGTCTATCTCATGATGCAGCTGGACCAGGGCACTTGGGTCCGGTTTGCCGTGTGGATGCTGATAGGTATGTGATGCTGCCACCAGCACGTCCACGATCCTGGCTTCTCTCAGGGGCCTCCCTTGTTTCAGGATTTATAACACAATGACACACATGCAGTCAGCAGCTTTCTCAAAGATAATGCTGAATCCCTGGTAGGTTGTGAGTCCTCTCCTCCCTGTTAGATACTTTTTGTTTTCATTGCCTCTTGCCCAAACTATTTATTCTGTTGGGCACGACCTTGATATTAACAGGAACAAGGTGATGAGTCAGCTGCAGATAAGGTACCAGTTATTTTCACCCCAGACAGGAAAGTCTGGCCTGTGCCTTTTGGACCCCTGGCTTGCCCAGCACCAGATTGGTATGGGTACGAGGCCTAGGCAGGGATGGGTGTCATGGGCTCCTCTGTGATGACGTCTTCTCTGTGAAGGACGGTGTTTTGGAGCCTATGGGACATGCCACTGGGGTAGGGGCTTCCATTTGAGATAGATCACCAGGGCAGGATGCAGCCTGTAGGGCCGGCCAAGTCCCACCCCTCTGGGCATCTCACCCCAGGGGCTGGAGGGGAGGGACTCATTTCCTTCCTCTCAGCATCTGAGTGGTAGTGCTGGTAGCCAGGGATGTGGTCCTTGCCGTTGCCCCTCAGGACCATGTCCCCACAGCCTCCCAGCCCCGAGTTTGCATGCTGTTGGGTGGATGGCTGCTGCCTCATCTTCCAGGACCTCGAGGGGTGCTTTTCCTCCAGGAAATACTTAGCGGCCCCCTTTCTGCCGGCACCAAGGTGGGTCCTCATTCTCTGCAAAGTGCAGCCCATGTCTAGTTAGACAGAACATCTCCTGGAGCGTTTGTGAGAAAAAGCTGCTCACAGCCCACTGTGGCCACTTCCTCAGGGCCTGGTGAAGGCAGAGGGTGCCTCTTCCCAACGTCCCTGTAAAGTCCCCGTGTTCAGGAGCCTGAGCTCCTTTCCTGGGTTCTGCGTGGCTGAGTCCTTGCTTTGAGGCCTGCTTTCCTGTGTCAACCACACGAGGTGGCCCTGGAGCCATCTGGCCACAGTACATGGGCAGGTGGTTAGAAGCATAGGTCCTGGACCCACCCGAGTCCTGGGTGCAGGAACAGGCTGTGGACTCCTGTGTGAAGTCCGTTCCCAGGACTAGTGTGTCTCTTACAGTCTGATGGTCAGTTGCATGGAGGAAACGGGGCAGTGGGATTGTCCAGGCTGACAGCCTGGAGACCTCCAGCACCTGTGGGAAATCCCATCTCCATAGTGCACATTCCTGATACTCTTGTGGCCTCAGGGGGCATCAGGGGGTTAAGGTGAAGGACCCAATGGCTTCTGGTGGCCCTGGCCCAGCTGCTCTGTCTGCTCAGGAAACGCCGCAGCATGAGGCCATCCAGAGGAATGTAGGGCTTTGCCAGATGTAGAGGCAGACAGTGGCCTTCATGTGGCAGCTGCTCCAGATGTGGAAAGGTCCCAAGGGCCGCTGGCTGCAGGCTCATGCCAGGCAGGAGCAGGCCGCCTGAGAGGGTTTGCTGTGGGGCTGCCCTGGGCTCCAAGCCCTGCCTGCGGTGGTGTAGCCGGCACTCTGTTCATGCCCGTCTCTCCTGTCGGCCCTCAGGCTTCATCATCTACTTTGGCTATGGCCTGTGGCACAGCGAGGAGGCGTCCCTGGATGCTGACCAAGCAAGGACTCCTGACGGCAACTTGGACCAGTGCAAGTGACGCACAGCCCCGCCCCTCGGAGGTGGCAGCACCCCACCCCCCCCTCCAGTGCAACAGGAATCACCCACACCCACACCCACACTGTAGCCGAAGGTGCAATTACTTGAACTGCAGCCCTAGCCCACTCTCGGCTCTGCAGCTGGCTCTCCAGGCCCTGGTCACCTCCAGACAGCTGCCTGGCCAGGGCCACTGGGCTGCGGCTGGCCACTGTGTCTCTTCACTTCTCTGAACAAAGAGAGCAGGTCCTCTCCTACCAGCTCAGCCCCAAGCTGCTGCAGCCTCAGGCAGAGTGGAGGTCACCTTCTCCCCTTATCTTGGGGACCAGGCCTTCCTCCCGGGGGACTGTTCTGGGGTTGAAATTCTGCATACTCCACACACACCTTAGCAACCATCTTCCCGCTCAGCCCCAAATACCCAGCAGTCAAGCCAGATGAGTACCACAAAACAGTGCGTCCCACCAGCCCCCCACCCGCAGAGCCAAACGATGGTAGTACACTTAAAAAGAAAAATCAGGTGGTTTTTCCCCATTGTGTTCAGATGGGTCGTTAGGACTGGACCTGGCCCATCCCTCAGCTTCTGAGGGCTTTGCTGTGACACCACGGCAGCCGCCCGGGGCCGGCCAGCAGGGCTGAGGGCAGCTGGTTCCTCTCAAATGAGGAAGAAGGGATCGCTCCCATTAGGGCCTGGTGGGAGGTGGCCGGCTCTGCTTGTCCGTGTGTGTGCGCATGTATAAACCAGGGACCTCCTTCAGCCCACGCCTTCCAGGCCTGGGCCAGTTCTTGCTGCTCCTGCCGTCTCCCCCATCGGCTGTGTCCTGAGTAACTGGAACGTGAGACTGTATCTGGGCGGGATTGTCCTCACGCGGCAGAGTTGGGAACTTTCCTGTGAGTCGCCGCCGCTCACTCAGTCTTGCCCTCCCATGCTTGGAACCAGTCTGTTGGCTCTTGTGAGGTTCTCAGGGTGGGTAGCAGCTCAGCCCAGGGTCATGACATGTCGGGTCATGGTGTTTCTGGCCCTGACATGAGCTGCCCAGCTTCTTTGTTACGTATGATGAAATTGAAATCAAGCCACGGCCCATGAAATTGTGAATCACTCCACCAGATTAAGTTAGGGTGTAACGTTAACTTGGAAATGGCCACGTCATCACCCCCTGTGGTTGGCGTACTGCTGAGGTGCTTGGGCCGTCGGGGAGGTGATTTCCAGGCATATTGTTGTCCCTTCTGTGCGTCCGTCATCCGGATGCTGCGGACCCCATGCCTCCGCAAGTGGAAGGGTCCGGAGCATCCTCCCCTGCCTCTCTTGCCTGGGTCAGGGCCTGCAGCCAACACCATTTCACACACTCCTTGTAGATGGAAGCCAGAGGAAACCTGGATTCGGGTGGAGCCCTACTTCCATTGAGACTATAATTCAGAGACAGAAGGCTGATGGGGGAGGGAGAGGAAGGTGGGCATTTTGGACACCAGGGGAAATGGAAATCCTGCTTTCAAAACTAGTTTCCTTTCCATTTCTTCCTAGTCTGCCCTTTGACACAAATCTGGTAGAAAGAAGCCTGATAAACTGAGGGCCCTTATGCACTCCCTGTGCCAGAAGATTCTCGGAGAGAAGTGTGAGAATTTGGGAACTCGCCAGCAGAGGGCGGGTGGGCGGCCTCGGGCTGGGCCTCCGTATCAGGCCTGCTCACCTTGCTGGAAGCTTTGTTCTGATCTCATTTTGAAAGTTCCAGAGGGAGCATCATAAGAGCCCAAAGCTCCGATTTCCAAAGAGAGGTATTGACATTTATGTAGATTGGTGCTGTAACATATTTTGATAAATACTAACTTATTTTGTTGGGGTTTTGATTATCTCTTGTCCTAGGACCTGGTAGTTATTTACTTGATTTTTTTTTTCATGTTATTTTCTACATAGGTAAAGAGAACTCGAGGGAAGGAATTTCCAAGAAAAGTTAAAGTGGTGGGAGGGAGAGTTTTTTTTTTTTTTTCAACTCTAGTTTTTCTTTCCGGCTGAAATTTCTGTGCAAGACATCACGCAATAGACATTTAGAGTTGACACTTGAGCGGGTGCCATGGATCATTCTGTAGATTGAGAGGGTGTGTCTCCCCTGCTCCCATCATGGGAGCTCGCTGACAGCTGGGAGTCTGGCCTTCCTCACGCAGAAGCCTTAAAGCCCGATGCGGAAGCACGCCCAGGTCGGCAGGGATGGGATCCCCCTGCACCCCCGCCTTAGAGGACGGTCTTCCTAGTTAGGAAAGGACACGTGGGGTGCCTTGCATAAATAGTTCACTGGCCACCGTGCTTTTATGGGGAGTTCTTTTGTACTGTTGCCAGGGGTTTTCTCTGCTGCATGTGAGGGCAGTGATTTAAGTCATGGTGTTTGGAGTAAGCCTCACAATTTTAATAGACTTTTTTTCTTATCACATCCCTCATTTCTTTCCCTGAAATAAAAATACACACAGCAAAAAAAAAATGATAGTTTCACATCTCTTAGTTCCCTTGGCTAAACGAGAATATTCTTAGTTCCACGGCTGGGCAGGATTTTCCTTCATAGAACTCCCACATTACTAGAGGCACACCAGCCAAGGGAGTATTGTGTCTACTTTTATCTGTGCACCAGCCACAAATACCCACATTGGAAAGACCCATTTGTGATGGGTAAACATCCCTTCCTGTCTCCCACACCCCCGTGACCACCCTGCATGTGCTCATGACCTCCAAAGGCCCACACTCATGAAGTGGCAAACCCAGCAGATCCCCGGGCCCCCTGCCTCAGGACCTCTGCTGAAGAGGGGGATGAAGGGGGTCTCCAGAGAGGCATCAGGGGACTTGAGGGTGGCTGGCTTGGGAGCCAGCTTACAGGAGTGCAGCTCTGTGGTGGGGAGGGGCACCGTCCGGCGACCAGGCCTCTGCACATCCCCACCCTCCTTAACCTGCTCACAGCGTCTTGGCCAAGGCTTTGTGTACCAGATGTTTTTTTCTAAATGAAGAGGTGATCAGATCTCACCTCACTGTTGGTTTTGTTTTTGCAGCAGCAAAAGCTCTCTTTCCACTGCGGCTTTTATCTCTATCAGGCAACCAGCCACCTGGTCCCGTGTGCTGACCGTAGCACAGTGGCCAGGATCCAATGCGAGTCCAGGGGTGACCGCAGGACGGTGGAGGCGGCGAGCTTCTCCACGCATCCCAGCCGCCAGGGCCCTGATGCACTCCCTCCTGCCCCTTCAGCACATCCGTGTGCACAGCTGGAGGGGCACCTGGCCCGCTCACCTTCGTCCAGACCCGTGGAAATGCTGGCGATGCCAGCTCCTCCCCACCTTGCCCCTGCCGCTGAGCAGGCATTAACTGGCTGGTGTTTGCAGTCCCACATGGTGTGGCCTCCAGAGCGGTGAGTTCCAGTAGGGGAGCGTGCGGACATGCTCCATAGAGGCCCCGCCCAGGCCTACAGGGCAAGGTCTTGGACACTGACCCAGGAGTCACCGCTAAAGCAAGCCTGCCTTGGCTCTGTGCCGGGGCCCCTCTCTCCTGATTCACACATCCCATTTTTGCACAGACACTTCCTTCTTAAGAGCTGACAGCTCTGTCGGCATCCAAGAACCCACACCATGAAGACAGGGAGTGAGGGGCCTTTGTGCCCAGGCCAGCACAGCTGCGTTCTGGAGTGGATGCGAGGCATGTTCGTGTCCATACCTCTGCCAGTTCCCAGGACACAGAAATTGCTGGGTGGAGGCGACTTAAGGCTTGTGTGTAGAGTGGTTGCGGCGTTCACCTGCAGACCAATCTGAATATATGTCATGTATAATTGTTATGTGTAATTTAAGATATATCTGTTTGCCATCGTCATGGGAAGCTATGTAACGCTCTTAAGGGAGAGGGAGGTGTGCATGCTGTCAGGCTCCTGTGGACTTTGTCCTAGTAATGAAATGCTCTGTCGATCCAGTGGTGCAAGAAGCTACACTCCATGTGTCATCACGCTTAGGAATGACGTCAAATGGATTTTTAAGGCAAAAGCTGTCAGCAACACCCATCATCGTCCCTCGCATCCAATCTTTCCGTGCCAGTGCTTCAGAGCCACAGCGCTCTCTTGCCATCGGGACTGGCTGGGCCTGGCGTCTCGGGGCTCAGTTACCATGGAGCCCTCCTGGATCACTCTACAAATGTGCTGAGTGCCAGCTGAAAACCCCACAGGAGATGGAGTACCTTGGTCAAACTTAGGGAAGATTTTTCTCAGGGTATTTACCAGTGTGTCCAGCAGGTCAGGAAGCAGGGATGGAAAGACGCATTCAGACTGCTAATTTATTAACAAGGCAAATGAGTTCATGTTTCTTGATGACAAACTATTAAGTTTGGGATTTATTTTCCCATTCGAGAAGTTATAATATATATTTAAGATAAGTTTCCTGCTTAAGTTGTGCCTTTCTGCTTCAACGAGTTTAAGGAGCACTAAGGGTAATGCTACCAATGAGGGTTGGTTTATTATCAAACCTGAATAGCTGTGGTTTCTCCAGCAAATGTTTTCTTCTACTGAACATGGAGCCATTATTAAGAGTTGTGTGTTTTTTTTTATTATGTACATTTGTATATTTTTTTGCTTGTTTGATGTTCTATTTTTCTAATAGTTTTCTTATAGTTTCCTAAAGTTGCGACACTAGACATAGAGTCCGATGCTAACTGCAAATCAGGCTGGCCTCTGCTGGGTCTCTCCTGCTTTTATTTTACTGTAAGGATAATGTAGTTGTCGTCCACCACCTTTCAAAAAATGTGAAACTGCCCCGCCCGCGCCCCCCCCCCGCCTTTTTGCTGACATCACTGTGTACATTGACAATTTCCTACCATACTTTATGTTATAAAACCAAACTATTTTGTGGTACATTATCTCACGCTTCCACAAATTCTAATAAATTCTGTCTATGGCTTCCATGTGCACGGTGTGATCTCAAGAATCCCAGCGGGTCTCTGCTGGGTCCCAGACCTGGTGGTGCCCCATAGAGAGTTCCAATCCCGCCCTGCTTCCCCACAGCCCGTGACTTGAGTCCCATCCTCTCACTTTCCTGCCATTTGGACATGAAATCCTCATTCCAACAGTTTGAGCCTCAACCAGGGAATCCCTTGAGCCCCCATTTTGGATGCTCTGATATTACCTCCAGATTTGTTTGGCTTTGGGGCCACAGAGGTCTTCCTTCCAAGCAAGCTGCTGGGGTAAAGCGACTCCGAGGCTGCCAGTTGGGCATTTGCTGAAGGACTTGGTCTCCGGCACCAAAACGCTCTTACCCATTGCCACCTCAGCCTGTGCTGGCCTGCATACACACCATCCCGTTGGAGGGAGCAGAGGGCAGAGGGGCTGGGGTGACAAGTGTACAATTTTGGTAATTGTTGCTCTCTGACTCCCTCAACTCCTTTGAGAAAGGATCCATTTTTTTGCACAGGAGGCAGATTCCATCAAGTGGGCCTTGATTTCCAGACAGTAAGATGCAGTGGTTCACAGCAGCTATACCAGCAGATCTGCTGCCCACAACAGAAGGTCTGACCTTTCGGATGATGGATGGTGCTGAAGGCAGACACTCAGGGAGCGGTGTGGGGAGTAGGGCCGCCGATCTGCTCTCTGGACCCCAGCTTGCCTATGATCTGGAATATGTGATGAGCACGTGCACCTGAGAGCACCATGCACAGTTTGTGTTTGTTGGACACAGAGAAAACTAGACCACAGAGCTTGCGCAGTGTGGAAGCAAGGCTGTGCAGCATGTCCCAGGGACACGGGATGAGTGTGGTCTCTGGCCCGGTGTGATTACCGCGGGAGGTTCTGCTGATGCAGAATCGGATCCACAAAAGGGGCCAGCGTCCCAAAGCAATGGGCTCCAGAATTGGGAAATAAGCATGCAGCATGCCTTGATCCTGGATTTTTGCAGGTGTCTTGTAGGACGGCGACCTCTGGTCCCTGAGGATGACTTTGAGCCAAGTGCAAGGTGAACCCCAGTTCCCGCAGCGCCACACTGCCACCTAGTGGCTCTGCTTGGTGCTGCGCAGGCAGCTTGAAAAGGCCATGCCAAGTCTTTGAGCCATCTCTTCGAAAACCCTGACCAGTGGCTCCTCAAGGCCCTGTGGGACGATGCCCGGCAGGAGGCTTGAGAGGCACCACCTGGAGAAAGTTTTCCCTTGTACAGTTTGGTTATGAAGCACCTCTGGTCAATCAAAAGCTGCCCCCAAATGGCATTCACAGCAACAAGGAAGCCTGTGGAGCCACAACCTGGGATGCTGGCCCTGCCTTTCAAACCCAGCTTCCAGCCCACCCTTGCTCAGACACCACACAGATCTGGGCAGGGTCTGGGACTGCGGGGACAGGGGATGGGCTGGAACCAACTACAGATAATCCCATCAGCCCCCGTTCAAAGGGAACAGTTCAGTTTTACCAAATGAAGCCTGTCCACCCAGCCATAAATATAGCCATTTAAAAAATGCAGTTTGAAGAAAAGCCTTTGGGAATGAAACAGGCAATGTATTTGCTAATGAGGGGAACAGCTTTTTGGCTCTCAGTGTGGCAGAGCACCTAATTCCAGTGGATTTGGGACTGCGTGTGGAAGAAAAAGCTGTGGCTGGGTGGGAACTTACTGGGGATGCTTTTAAATTCTCCTTAAAACAACGCACCTGATGAGTGTCGGCTGGTTCAGAAGCGCTGTTACCGCCATGAGGGACGCGGGACGAAGCCCAGTGCCTGCTGCATGAATTTGGTGATGCAGTCATGCGAGAAGACAGCATGAAGGGGCAGCGGCTGCGTGGCAGGGGCTCTCTGGGTGCCTGTGGTGTGGGTGCCACAGAGGGAAGAGTTATTGGCCCCCAGGAGGTCTGTACACATGCACACTGCAGGGCCGTCTGAGCTCAGAGCTGCAGGGCATCCCCACCCTGCCTGGTGTTGGCACTGGAAAAAAATTCCCAACTTAGCGAGGAAGATTGGCCTGCATCATCAGGCTGCGTTGAGTGACCCGAGCCTGGCCGTCCGAAACACCAGATATCTGTCCTGGTTTGGGGGCAAGAGGTTTGAGAGATGCAGACTGGCTAACAAAAACACTTAGCAGATGTAAGTGAATTGTGAATTAACACGCTCTGTGCCACCAGAATGGCCTACCAGCCTTTGGGGGGGGTGTGTGTGAGTGTGTGTGTGTGTGTGTGTGTGTGTGTGTGTGTGTGTGTGTGTTTGACAGGCTCTCACGTGGGCAGGAGCCTCACCACGATCCCAGAGTCATGGCTCGAAGCGTACACACTGATGCAGCAATGGCTTTGAGAACAGCCTTTGACTCCAGTCGCAGGTGGAAACCTGTCCAACCGTTTGGCTCCCCCCGTGCTTAACTCCGTAACTCCCATCTTGCTAGGGTGATACAAGCCTCCCACGCAGGGAGAGTCAGGCTCTCCAAGGCTCCTTGGCACAGAGGAGGTCAGTGAGTGAGTTGACTTCCAGAGTCTCCTCTGCCTACTGCAAATTAGCCATGGAAGGAGACGCCGCTCTCCATGGACAGTGGAAAGCTGGCTCTAATCTCATCTCCTGCTTGTGCCAGTAGCTGCCACCTGCCTTGTTCCCTGCACACGGTGAGTTAAGGACAATGGGAGGAGGTCATTATGAAAGCGAAGGGTGCACAAGACACCCCAAAAGAAACAAATGGGTTAGGACACGTTGCCAGGTAGATTATTAAGAATTGCCATTGATACCCTGGGAGGCCTGGATGACCCAGAGGTGGCCCTGGGGTGTTCCCTGTGATGTCCAGAAGTAAACTGCGTGTCATCTACAAAGGGTCTGTTCGGTAATTGTTTAGGAGGGACTTGCAGAACTCTCTAAAATAGCAGCCACTCCCCCACACCCTGCAAACCACTGCAGGGAACCTGTGAACCCAGGCTTCTTCTCCCTTGTTACCAGTGCCAGGCACCTGTGGGACACTCCAAGGGCCAGCTGGCTAAACCGGCTGCAGTCCAAACTGAAGGCCATCAGGATGGGGGGAGCAAGCACTTTTGGGCTGAAATGAATGAATGACCTTTTGTGTCCTCTTTCCAGCTTACTCAGCACACCCTGGCCTTGCCGAGCAGAGGCACTGAGCTCCCAAGTCCAGGGGAGGGGCTGCTCAAGCCCACCGGGCTGGAAGGCTGGGACCTGCTGAGTCTGGGAAGGGGGATCTCCAGACTTCTTTCATGGACGAGCACCTGACCCCGGCACACACAAAAATGGAGTCCAGCCTGCAAACACCCCCGCTTGCCTCCCTGCCTGGGATCCCCAGTCTGAGAGGGACAGGTCTCCAGTTACATCAAGTAGATATCACAGAAAGTCCCTCAAGTTTATTTTAATAGGCTTTAGAGTTAAACACAAATATGCAACACAAACCATAGGGGCAGGAAAAAAGATGTTGTGACCCCATTCATTCAACTAATGACAGCCAGGGCTACCCCCATCCCCACCTGTTCTGACGCTCAACCAGAACCTTGTCCCAGCATGTGGTGGCCAGGGGCGGGGGTGGGGGCAGGCCACCCATGCATCTCCCAACGCCACGAAGAGACCGGTGGTATCTGGTGGGTCTGTCTGAGGCAGGTGTGGAGGCTGCAGCATCCAAACGTGGAAACATCACTCCAGCCTGGAAGGGGACAGAGGCGGACGCCATGTGGAGAGAAATTAAATCCTGATGGCGTGGGGGGGTGGAAGAATCGAGGAGGAGGTACAGCAGCTGCCACCCCATGGCTCAGATGAAGAGCCATACATGATGGGTGTCCGTGACAAAAAAAACCCACCAAAAAAAACAAACAAAAAAATGAAGCCAGGGCCATGTGGAAATTAGCCCAAGTACCCAAGGTCAGGGCGGATTAGGGCAAAGCTCTCACCAAAGTCCACCTAATGAGGAATTACTTAGTGCTAACAATGCTACAACTCTGACCACAGCAGCCTAACACACTGTACCACGTTCTAGCATCACACGGAAGTCGGTATTGCTGTGTAACTGCATTTAGCAGGTGCGGCTATGTAAGCAGTTCCTAATTCGGACAGCTAAGCTGTAACCGAATTTGTGTTTGCAGGTTGTGCCTGCTACAAGAATAAATAATTGTGTACTTAGTCAATGTGGCATGATCCACTCTAATGGAATGCCCAACTCAGTATCACAGTATCATGCAGAACCACTAAAGCAAAGAGAAATGGTGCTTCCATGTGGATTTACTGTGTACGTCCCCAGAAGGAGCAAGACCCCTGGAGGTTTGCTGGAGATGTACCTGAGGCCCGGGAGCCCAGCTTGGACTCATGCTAGGGCCAGGAAGCCTGTCTGCCTGCGTGCTGGCCACACATGTGCCGAGTAGGCGTGCCTTGGACAAGCCGACCTCGTCCTTGGGCTGTTTCTTCCCTGCTCCATGGCTCCAGGCCCTGCAGGACCCCCTCATGGTTCTTCTCATCTTGGGCACGCTCAAAGACAGGCCTGTGCTCAGGATAATTTTGGGGGGCCTCAGAGAGATAGTGCAGGGTCTTTGTCACATACAAGGAAACAAGGGCATCATCACCACCATATGTGTTAAAACTACTTCTTCCTTTTGTGTATCATGCTCCTAATCTTCCACACCACTACATGAGTACTGTTTACATCCTAATTCTACCATTTTAGAGACACGTGCCAGTCCAAGATGTGGTGCCGCCTGGCTGGCTGCTTCACTGCGCTCCTCTGTCTGGGAGAACCTTCTGGCTCTAAGATGGTAGCACGGTCAGCGGTAGCACTGCCTGATCATCCAGTAGGAAGTGCAAGTGGGTTTCTGGGTGGTCGTGTGATGATCTAGCACAGCTCAGAACTGGTCCCCTGGGACAGAAAATGGTGTTTTTCCCAGACGCCCCTGCTAGAACCCCTGAGCCACCTCAATGTGCAGCGAAGGGGTTGAACTGTAGAACCAAATTGAAGGGGGGACTGCTACG